CAAGCAGTGCCACAGCTTCAGTGGGATTCTACAAAGACTCGAAGGTGGTTTGGAAACTGTAAAGTCAGGACTTATGAAAACAGAGAATGGATTATTTGCAATGTGAGGAAATTCAGTACCCTAATCAGCTGGAAATATTGCCGTTGTTCTTAAATATCGTGATTCCCGAAAAGCTCTAACTCCGAATTCTCTAGCCGATCAATTTTACATCGGCGGAAAGGCAAAGGTTTAACCAAATGAGTGATGCACGGTTCCTACCTTAGCGTTATTGACTCCGGTGATAAGGGCAGAAAGGACCTCTTTTAGGAGCACTAAGCGTTGTTTCACGTCTTCGATGGAAGTGATCATTTCATGCACCTCAGAGGCCTTCAAAAGGCACAACAAATCAGGAGCCAACGAAAAGGTATGGTCATTCATTGTTTCACCGAGTTTGCTACGAAAGTTCAACAGGAAGGCGGTTTTACGGAGGCATACGCTATTACGATGGTACGGTGCAACGTGGAGGTTGTATTCACCGTAGCAGTGGAATATTTCAATGCGTATTTGTTTCCAGAGGATGAGAAGTAGCGGTTTCAGACGACCGTAAATCATCAGCATCTCGTCCAAACGTTCCACCTTAAGGAAGAAGTTAGAGAGTAATTGGTTGAAGGTATGGTAAGGGAAGATGGGGGTAGACTACCGTTTCTTTTGGTACCCCGCTTGGTGAGAGGACGTCTAAAAAGATACCAAAAGGGCTGATTAGTTTGTCCTTCACGAATCCATTAGACGGGGAGACGACAACTCACGCAGTCGATCAAAGGTCAGAAGTTCCAGTTCAAGAGCTAGTAGTATTTGTTCAATAAATGCAAGATTGGGTTCTGCTGTTGACGGTGATGATGAATAGGAGATGACCTTGTCCACGTTATCCGGTAGATAATCAAGAAGGGCCTCACAAGAAATCTCCAAAAGGTGCAGCAAATACCTTTCAAAAGATAATTTTTAAGTGGTTGCTACTAACGAACCCTAGTAAATTATTTTTTTTTGTTTATAGAAAGGCGAAAATAAGTTAAACTCGACAGGGTGTTTTGTTTGCTACTGATATCCATCAGTAGCACACTATCCCTGGTTGAGTAAGATTGCGCTTGAGTAGTCCAATAGGTTTTTTACTTACCCAAATAAAACAGTCCGAGGATCTGCCTCACCACAGGCACCAAACTCCTGAAGAGCGGGTAGAAGTGTCGATGGTTGCTTCAAGGTGAGGAGTAGGAGAAAACGAAGACACACGAACTTGCAAGCTACCCAACGTTGGAATTGCTCCAAAGACTGCAAAAAATGACGATTTGAAATCAAAAAATGGACAAACGATTCAAAAGTTCCATTTACTCTCACCTCCTTGAAGGAGAAGCCTTGGGAGGGTGGTTGAAAGAGAATGGGAATGAGTTGGCGAAGAAGGAGGTCATGGATGATTTCACATGGCCACGGTGATAAAGCTAGGCGTTTAATAAGACGAAGGCAGGCCTCAACGTCCCCGCATTTATCTATGGTAAGGCGACAGTCGGCCAGAGCGGATAAAAATTGCCGGCAGATCTGTGATGAATGTGAGAGAGAAGGTAACTGGGCTTACCCACTCGCAGGTGATCTGGCAATGAATTTGTCGGACATCAAACTTACCTCAGTTGCAGTCTTATTGGCCATGGAATCACCTCGATTTTCAAACGGCACCCTCAGAACAGAATCCGTTAAGGAGGCAGCCTCCAAAATTACGCAGAAGAAGTCCAAAACTCTCGAATTTCCGATAAATTTCGGTAGCATAAATCCCAACAGATTCTCTCGGTGTGCATTCCAGTCGCTGATATGTGGTATGCGTAGAATGAACAATCTATACTTACCGCAGGTCCTTAACTAGGTGGTCTTTCAAGTCACTGAGACGTCCCTGTGGTGAATTTGGCCAGTTGGCACGAAGAGTGTTGTGATGTTGAATACCTCGAACTACGTAGATGTCGATTATCAAGGGGGCAAGAGCGGGAACTACAAAGGAATTCACGTCCACACCACCAGCTGCAAGCACCTCTGCTAAGTGCACCACCTTTAAAAGGCGCGAGAAATCATTCTGTAAAGTGTTCCTTGTGAAATGTGGCTTCTTGATGCAAGGTAACGAACCTCGGACAAAGAAAGCACAGTTCTTGCATCAGGTGTGGTGTCAGGACTGCCTTTTTTCTCGTGGGTGAGGACAACAAAGAATTGAAACATGTTAGACACCAACTCGGTGACTCCTTTAGACGACGTTTTTTGGTTGTAGGACCCGGTGGCGTTGTTGTGCTGCATTGACTCGCATTGAACCATCACGGTTTTAAGGAAACGCTGAAGCAAGTGTTTGAAGGGGCAAAATAATTAGCATTCAAGTAAAGCAGGGAAAATTGGTTCAAGGGGCTGAGCCACTTCTAGAGGGATTTTTGAGACACAACAGAAAGCTGTCGTCAATGATAAACACTATCAAATAAACATTGAATGAAGACGATCGCAAAACCTTTATGGCTGTGTTGAGGCTGTCCAACTATTCTCTGTGGATTACCACAAAAAACGTGCACTTCGGGGGAACCTCGAGAATTGGCTTGCTACCATCAGCTAGACTTAAGAATATTGTAAACGCCTGAAAAGCCCAATGGTTAGGCATGATACTCAATTTGACAC